CCTGACAAAAGCAGAAAGGGACAAGATGCATGGGACTTGAACAGAGGTCCCATCAAACCACTAGCACCATGTTAAGGTCCCACAGAAGAATCAGCTCCCAGACCAGAGAAGGATGGAGACAAAGAAGCCCTTTTAAGAATCTTGTTCCCATGGCATTGGAGAAGACTGATCCTCCCTGAATGAGAGAGGATGAAATGCTGATATTAACTGCCAGATGCACTCTCAATAAGCTAAGCACAAGGTCCAACGACTGAAGGTGCAGCAAGTACTCCAAGATGTCCTGGACAGAAACCTGCATAGGCTGAATTCCATGGGCCAATGGGCACATCAAAAACTGCTTCTATTTCACCAAATAAGTCATTCTGGTAGAAGGCTTTCTACTGTTGAGTAGGAACTTCTGAATAGCTGCTGAACACTGCTCCTTCTCCTCATTCAACCATGAAACAGCTATGCCATGAGAGGAAGGAGCAAGGGAGGCTGAACTGACAGTGTGAGAAGGTCAGAGAACCAGCACTGCCTCAGCTATGCTGGGGCAATGAGAACGAGCTTGGCCCAATCCGCCTTCAGCTTGAGGATGACTTGTGGGATGATTAAGATCAGAAGAAAAGCATACAGGAGAGCCGAATGCCAGCTGAGGTGAAAAGTGTCAGTTAGGGAGCCCGGAATGAGGCCCCCTCAAAAGCAGAACAGACATTTCCTACTGTCTCTCATAGAAAACAGGTCAATCATCAAAATGCCCCAAGCTGCGAAGGTGACCCGGAGGACACCTGGCCTCAGGGACCACTTGTGACTCAGAAAAACTTTCCTGCTGAGATGGTCTGAAAGATGATTCTGGACCCCGGGCAAGTGGTTGGCTATCAGAGTGATACTCTCCTGAATGCAAAACTGCCACAACCCGATTGTCTCTTGGCAGAGTATCCTTCAGAGTGCTCCCCCTTGCCTGTTCACATAATAAATCACAGTGGTATTGTTGGTAAGTATGTGAATCACTGAGCCCATGATATGGTCCAGAAAAGTGACAGGCATTGTAGATGGCAAGAAGCTCCAGCAATTTGATACGCTGTGAGGCTTTCTGCTCTAACCACAGACACTTAACTTTCAGCAACCCCAGATGTGCTCCCCAGCCCATCAGGGAGGCATAAGTGACAACAGACCTGGTTGTTAAGGATTGGATGAAGGGATGACAAACATTCTCCAGAAATGTCCACCACCAATCATCCCACAAGTCATCCTCAAGGAGTCCAGGACCAGTGGAGGGAGATGGACCAATTTGTACAAGGGGTGAAGAGTTAAGAAAGTAAATTGTCCTGAGCCACATTTGAAGGGGGCGAAAACACAATCTTGCAAACTGGACCACCTGCATGCAAACAGACATGTGGTTCAAGAGCCCCAGGTTCATCTGAACTGTCCTGGAAGCTGAGACCGCAGACTGAGGCAAAGGTGGCGAATTGCCTTAAAACGGTTGGTGGGCAAAAATGCTCTTGAACACATAGTCTTTTAGGGCCACAATGAACTTGATTTTCTGAGTGTGAAGTAAAGTTCACTTCCCATTTCTTAGGATGAGACCCAGACAGTCAAGCAAAAGAGCCAGGAGAAAGAGGACCTGCTTAAGGAATAGTATCTCGTGAGAGGGGGCCCTGAAAAGGGACTGAAATGAACCATGTGGCATAGCGCAATCTGACGGTGCTTAGGACCCAGCTGTCAGTGATGATTGAGCCCCAAGCATTATGAAAGTGAGCCAGCCTGTCCCCAAACAGAGGGGACAGGGGGAAAGGTACAATGACTAGATCACTGTTCTGGAGTCAAAATGGATGCTGGGGGGGCACCTGGGGAAAGCATGTCTATTGGCCAACCCCAGGCTTGAATGCCTCCTCCTCTGGAACCTATGCCCCTTTCTGGGATAGTCCTGTTATCTCAGGGGAGGGAAAGCTGCCCAAATGTGCACTGCCTATGATACTGCTGTTGATCACCACAGTGGTGGTCTCTGCACTGCCAATGTGTACACCCCCAAGAGCCTAAGATAGTTCTACGGTCCTTGAAGGAGTTAAAGAGTTCATCCATCTTGTCCAAAAAAAAGCACTCGGCCATCAAAATGCAAATCCTCTATAGTCCGCTGCACATCAGGACCAAGGGCCATATTCTGCATCCAGGACACACTTCTCATGGTCACTATCGAGGCCATCACTCTGGCCCAACTATCCATGACGTCCAGTGCAGACTGCAATTAAGTCTTAGCCACCCAGCAGCTTTTGGCGATAGATGCCCAGAATACTTCCCTGGAAGCTTCGGTCAGCTGGTCTGCAAACTTTAGACATAGCCATCCAGCTCACAAAGTCGTATTTCAACAGCAATGCCTACTGGTTAGCAATCCACATATGCAAGGAAGAGGAGGTGTAAATATTCCTATCCCATAGGTCCATCTGTTTAACATGCTTAACCTTGGAAGTGGACTTAAATCTGCCTTGCCAGGCTCTATCATTCACTGTGTTTACAACCAGGGAATTTGGGGCCAGCTGCGTATAAAAACCTCAAATCCCTGCACTGAAACAAAACAGCGTTTCTCCAAACGCTGTGAAGCCGGCATGCTCCAGATAACTCTAGCAGGCTCTAGGAGCACATCATTAATAGGGAGAGCAACTCTCTGAGAGGAACTGGAGTCAACAGTACAGATCTCTGACCTCCCTGTGTGGTATTGGAGAGTGGTTAATGGGACCCACTCCATCCCATACACCAGCATTCACACCGTGGTAGTCTGCGCTCCTTCTGCAGGAGACAGATGAGTCCCCATGCGAACTAGAGAGGCCTCAATCAGTCTTATATAACCTTTTTATCAGTGCGCTCAACAGGGAGCGACTCCTGTGTCTCTTCAGAGAGGTGCTGAATCCAGAGCATGGAATGATAACACTCTTGGAAGCCGAGGGCAACCTCCGATCCGATTTAAACCTCGGTGCTGAAGCAGGCCGCATGGCGTGTCCAAGTAGGCTGCTTTACACAAAGATCCACCTGAGTCCATTTTGTGAACAATTTGCAAATCAAACACCATTCGTGTGGCTTAGCCTAAGCACAGAAAGCACCACATGTGAGGATCAATTGCCGGGGATCGCTCCCCCACATAATGGGCAATGTTTAAACTCTGATGAGGATATCACCAGGGGAATATTTAAATGAAAGTTAACTAACACTAAATCTAATTAACACCATACTAAGAGTACTAATTAATTATATACAACTAGAAAAAAGTCACTAAGGAATATAGAGGTTGTGAGGTTAAGAACCACACAGAGCTCGAACTCCAGCTACTGGCAGTAAGAAGGAACTGGAGTGTGGGGAGTGGGAGGAGAGGGAGTCGTCAAGGCAGTGCTGCCTCATTTAGCCAGGGTAGGGGCTATGAGCAGGAGGCACAAGTGTTGCCTCCTACGGGTACTGATAGGCAAAATACTCTGGCTCTGGTGCACTGGGTGCGCGCGCACACACACACACACCCCTCCCTAAGTGGAACACAAGGCTGGATCTACTCAAAGAAGAGAACCTTAGTCAAATATGTTTAATACAAAGACAACTTTAAAAAAAGGAACCCTAACTTGGACAAACAAAATCACGTTTCACAGTACATTTTCTCTCGTAAATATTTTACATATTATTTATTCAAAGAGCAAAATAAAACATTATAAAATTAACTTGAATTTGAAACATTTTCACAACTTTCTAGGATGCACAAAGCTTGTTTACACAGCGAATTACTGTGCAGCAACACAGTGTGTGAATCTACAGCACACAAGCTTGTTGTGCACTAGATCACTGTGTGGAAACTACTACAGCAGAGTGAAAGTCCGGGGGGGGAGGGGGGAGGAGAGGTGGGAGAGTGTGTGTGTGTGGTGGGTTTTTTGTCACACCTCACAACACGCAGACTCCATGAACATTTAAAAAAAAAAATCAAACTATAAAACACACAAACAAAAGTCATCAACCAATTTCAAATGTTCTTAACTTTAAATTTACTCAACACGAGCTTCCTTCAAACTTGGCTTTATCCTTGAATCTACCATAAATGAGTTCAGTCATCCAAGTGCAAAATTTCAGATTCAAACTTATGGGGAAACTTTTTTCTTCTCCCATATTTACATAACTCAAGCACAGATGAGCTGGGGTTGTTCAAACTTTCAAAAAACAAAATCACCCCTTGGCTGAGATAAAACATGGAAAAATTCAGCTCTAAAATAATTTATTTGAGGTCATAACCAACTGAAAAAGCAGAATTAGAATGGAAGCTGGAATTCAATTTTTAACTATGTGAGCTAATCAAGCACAATATAGTCATATAAAGCACTAATATACAGTTTCAGATTTTCAAAACACACACATTAACCTCAATACTACCTAAGTGAACTAGTAAACAGTACGCACTTTTTACAGGTGAGGAAACAGAGGGTTAAGGACCTGATCCTATACCACTGAATTCAATTGGAATTTTGTTATCGACCTCAATAGGCACAGGTTCAAACCTAAGGGCAAGTCAGAGATGCAGTCAGGATCAGAAATCAAGTTCCTAACACAGCTGGTTCTTTTTGACCAAAAATGGCTTTTTAATTAAATGGAAATTTTCAGTAGGAAATTTCTGTTTTATTGAATTTTTATGGGGATGTTGGGGTCATCATTTTTGATTGTCAGCAGTCTTTGAGAAAACGTGAAAAGCTCCATTAAAATTTTTAATGAAAAAGGTTTATTTCCTATAATTATTTTCAGTTTAAAAAAATCTTTTCAACCAATTTCTTCTATATTGTAACTTCTAGTTCGTAATAACCATATTCCATCTACTCAACCATTCTATCTTTCAAAAAGCACAACCATTACTAGTGACAGACACTACGTATATTAGATGTTCACTTTTAAAGCTTAACTCTACTTTTTCTTGTGACTATAATCAGTATTAACATTATCCTGTCTGAACAGTCACTTCCACAGGAGGGCAAGCTAGGAAGGAAACATGACAATCAACTCACCTCCACTTCATCTCCTTCTCCTATTTCTTTCTTGATATCAGGTGGAGGTGGTAATCTGACTTCGTTAAAAGGAACCTGGCGCTCTGGTTGCCAACTGAAAGTTGAACAGATATTTCATTGATTATTTCAAGAACTAATTCTGGTCTGGCAAGCCTTAAAAATATTCATTGACACAATTCATTCTTAAAATATGTTCACTGTTTAAAATTCAGTTCTGTATTTCTTATTAATTGGCAGTGCCTACAAGCCCTCACCATGAACCAGGATTCCACTGTGGTAGGCAGTGTATAAACACAGAACAAAAGATTATATACTCTTTGGAGCAGGAACAACCAACGAAAGTTTAATTTCTAAGAATTTTAGAAATAAAATTACTATCTGAATTGACAATCTACTTGGAAAAAAATAGTTCTGTATGAAACTTTTATATGTAACTATAGTAAATACAACACAGGAGGAATTAGAGAAAAATATTTCTTCATTTTTTTTCTGTTTACTTTTGTGCATTTTATATCACTTTGCATATAATCACTCTTCCCACATGTAGTCAAGTCAGTTTTTCCCTTGCTGAAAAACTTCTTACAAACATCAGAGGAGGAGAAAAAGCCTTATGATTTTTTAAAATTCAGGATATTATATTTAAAAGGCTGTTACATCAAAAGCTGATGCTGCTCAAACAGTTCCAGGAACCGGTCCTTTCCGGGTAAAATGCCTGATGTCCAATGTGTGTAAGATGGTCTCTGCTGGAGTCTCATGAGGCTTGGGATAGAACACAAGAAGATGGATTGGCTGGTTCATATGAAAGGATGATGTTACCTTCAGTAGAAATTTTGGGTGCAGGCACAGCGTGACCTTATCTTTGAAGAATACTGTGGAGGGAGGATCGGCCATGAGTGCCCCGCTCTCATTCACCTGTATGGCGGAAGTAATGGTGACCAGAAAGGCCACTTTCACGGATAAATGCAGCAGGGAACAGGTGGCTAAGGGTTCAAATGGCAGTCTGGTGAGGCATTTTAACACCAGATTGGGGTCCCAGGCCGGGGTAGGCAAGCGAACTTCTGAGTAAATGTTCTGGAGTCCTGTGAGGAAGCGTTTAGTAATTGGGAGCGCGAAGATCAAATTCCCATCAATCTCATGATGGAATGCAGTAATGGCCGCAAGATGGACTTTGATTAAGCATTTCAGCTCCAGTAGGTATTCCAACATGAATGGTAGCAGTGCTGTGGAGGCTGTTGAGTATTTTTCTTGACACCAGGAGGAGAATAGTTTCCATTTTTGAAGGTAAGTGTTGTGTGTGGCCACTTTCCTGCTGTTTAGTAACACCTGTTTAACTTCTTCCAAGCAGGCTAGTTCGCCATGATGGAACCATGTAGGAGCCACGCTTGTAGGTGGAGTTTCTCCGGATTCGGGTGAAGAGTGTGACCGTTGTTCTGAGACAGCATGTCCAGACAACCATGGAGAGCTTGAGAGGTGCATATCGCCATGCTCATCAGGTAAGGTTGTACCATGCTTGTCTGGGCCATATTGGGTGGGACTATGAGGAAAACCTTGGCCTTGTCTGTTCATATCTTGCGTATCACGCGCGAGATCACTGGAATCGGTGGGAAAGCATACATGAGGTGTGCATATCATGTGATGAGAAAGGCATCCCCCATTGACCAGTGTCCCATCCCCACTCTCAAGCAGAACATTGAGCATTTGCTCTTCATTGGGGATGTGAACAAGTCAATGAGGGGAGTGCCCCACTGGTGGAAAATGGAGAGCAAAACTCTCCTATTCATTTCCCATTCATGGTCTTGAGAAAAGTACCTACTTAGCGTGTCTGCCGTTGCATTCTGACAGCTGGGAAGGTAGGAGGCTGAAATGTTTATTTTGTGGTGTATGTACCGGTTCCACAGTTTCATGACTTCGGTGCACAGCAAGTGAGATTGAGAGCCCCTTGTCAATTGACCTGCGGCAAAACACGCAGACAAAGTTGTCAATCATGATGCAAATGGATTCGTTCTTTATGTGCAGTAGGCACTGTGCAGTATACAGGCACTGTGGACTAGGCGCAATTCTAGTAGATTGATATGTCCACAGGAGACCATTTGCCTTGAACTGTGCGCAGGTGCATATGAGCAAGGCGTCATGATTACTATTGAAGGGGGCTCCTGTTGGAACGGGATGCCCATGTATACATTTTCTGGTCTTGTCCACCAGTGCAGATAGTCCAGGACACTGGGTGATATTGGAAGTCGTTTGTGCAGGCTGTGCTTGCTGAGTATGTATACCGAGCTCAGCCAGCCCTGAATGCAGTGCATATGTAATCTTGCATGTCGTACCACAAATGTTGTGACTGCCATGTGTCCTAGCAGTTGCAGGACAGTACGAGCCAGTATTTGGGGACTGAATCTCACCTCTGAGATAAGGTTTGTCAGAGTTGTGAATCTGTTCAGGGGCAGGGATGCTTTGGCTTCTGTAGTATCAAGATGTGCCCCAATGAAGTCCAGTTGTTGGACAGAGACTAGAATGGATTTTCGTTTGTTCATCTGTAGTCCAAGATCCCTGAATAGTGTGATCATCATCTGGACTGAGTCCAGTGCTTCTTGTTGAGCTGGGCCTTCGAGAAGGCAATCTTCCAGGTAAGGGAAAATCGTTATTCTCTGTTTGCGCAGATGTGCCACTAATACACCTAGGGTTTTGGAGAAAACTCTTGGTGTGGTGGATAGGCCGAAAGTTAGTACTCTGTTCTGGAAATGAGTGTCCTACTGTGAAACGCAGGAATTTCCTGTGAGCAGGGTGTATAACAACATGAAAATAAGCGTCTTGGAGGTCAAGGGCTGAAAACCAGTCCCCCTTTTGCAGCGCTGGAAGTATCATGCCCAGTGTCACCATTTTGAACTTTTGAGCGTGTACGCATTTGTTGAGTTTCTGGAGATTCGAGATAGGTCTCCATTCCCCATTCTTCTTCTGGCTCAAGAAGTAGAACCCTTCCCCATGTATTGCAAAAATACTCATTCCATGGCACCTAGTTGTAGAAGATGATCAACTTCTTGTCATAACAAATGCAAATGAGAAGGGTCCCTGCAGAGGGATAGAGGTAGGGTAGGTGGCTGGGAGGTAAAGAGGAGGGTACATCCCTATTGTACAATCTCTAACACCCATTGGTCCATTATTATTGGCACCCAGATGCGGTAGAATGGGCAAAGACCATGCCCAAAGGATGAGGACGGATCGGGTGAAAGCACTGCCTGGTGAGGGAGGTCATCCAGACCCTCAACAAAAACTTCAAAATTGTGGCTTGGGCAGAGCCGATTGAGAAGTCAATGGTTGAGCTTGAGGTGCTCTCCATCGCTGTGACCGTTGGTGATGCCTTTGGTTCTCGTACTGTCACTGTTATTGCTTTCGGTTGGAAGAGGAATCCCTGTTCCTTTGCAGTTCCCCAAAGTGTGAAGGGTGGCTTGAGAATCCTTCATTGCGTGGAGCACTTCAGCTTTCTTCTTCTAGAAGAGCTTCTCTCGGTCGAAAGGTAGATCCTTGAACTTGGTTTGGAGCTCTCTAGGTATGCCACAGGATTGTAACCAGGATGTCTGTCACATAACCACGGCCATAGCCGTGGTTCTGGTTGCCATGTCCACGACGTGCAAAGAAGCTTGGAGAGCTGCTTTAGCTGTGAGTTGACTCTTGTTTACAATGACCTGGAATTGTGATTGTTTCTCCTCGGGGAGCTCTGCTGTGAACGAGCTGAGTTTCCCAAATTATCATATTTAGCCAGCGAGGCTGAATAGTTTGCGACTCGGAATTGTAATGTTGCAGAGGAGTAAATTTTTCATCCAAAAAGAGGTCGAGCCTCTTGTGTTCTTTATCTTGGGGGGTTGATCTAAACTGTTGTTGTTCACTGATTAGTGGCATCAATCACCAAGGAGTTAGAGGGCGGGTGCAAGAAGAGGAAGTCCACCCCTTTGGTGGGGACATATTACTTTCTATCCGCCCTTTTGCTCATCAGCGGAATTGAGCCCAGTCTCTGACTGACTGTCTCTGCTCGTTCTAAGATCACATCATTGATGGGCAGAGCGATTCTGGAAGTAGATGCAAGTTGTAAAATTTGTACCAGCTTGTGTTGGTTTGTCTGCACTTCCTCCAACGGGATGTCCTGGCTTTGAGCAACCCGCTTAAACTGTTCCTGAAACTGTTTGAAGTCATCCACTGAGGAAGGTGGCGGTGGCATGATTGCCTCATCTGGGGAGAAGAAAGAATTGTGAGCAGGAGATGTTGCTTCCTGATCAGTGGCTGTTTCTGTGTTGTCCCCAACATTCTGAGCCTCCGTTGGCTGCAGGGTGGGAGACGTGAGATTAGACCTCAGCTCACCTCTATGAGCTGTGGGTGGCCTGGATTGGAGGTCCCGGAAAGTTGCCCAGGGTTCCCAACGTGCCCATTGCTTTGGGAAGGCCATGGGTCGATACATCCATGGTGGCCCGTAAAAAAGCTGGTTATGAGGGTATTTAGGACCCATTTGGCTTCAGGTTGGTCGTGGGTCTTTTGGTGATGAGTGGTGCGGCAAGAAAGTGCATGGTTCCTGCACATTATCGTCATTACTGGATCAGTGTACCATGCCATGAGAAGTATGGGGATCTCTTCCATAACTTACAGGAGAGCCCTCAGTACTGAGCAGTGGGGACTGCAGTGCCGATGATACAGCCAAGTCTCTTTGTTGCAGTAAATTCTGTGGCAGTTCTGATGTTGGTGCCATCAGTGCCAATTGGGGCGCTCTCATCGGTGCCCTCAGATGTAGTGTTGATTTAGCTGGCGCGGTCAGTGCCAACTTGGTTTTTTCAGCCAGTGCTGACTGCAATGTCAGAGCCAGGAGTGGAGGCATGGTGCCTGAGGAGACACTTGGCACCAGGTCCATTACGGGTGAATTTGGTGCGATGGAGGAGGCATGTTGCTGTCTGTGCCTCAACCCAGTCTCCTTCGCTGGGGACTCGGCGGTGCTGGAGGTCATCCAAGCATGTGTTGGCATTGGGGCTACCGACTTGGCAGGAGACCACAGAGAGCAACGCGGAAAAATAGCCGGAGATGTCTGTGCCCTCTTCCTTCATCTTTTAGAGAAAGGCATGTCTCCTGTCCCTGCAGGGAGGGTGCCCAGAGAGGAGGTCTGTTGGTCTGGCTCTGGTTGGAGAGATTTCTCCATCAGTATCATTTTTAAGGGGACATCTCGGTCACGCCGAGCTCTCACTTTCAAATTACTGCAGCAGCCGAATTTTTGCGGGACATGCATCTCCCCAAGACATTGGGCACACAAAGAGTATCCATCTGAAATGGGCACTGGTACGTGGCAAGGACCGCATCACTTAAAGCCTGGGGAGCCAGGCATCTCTGATGGTTAACCGACCCCCGTGCGGGAAGGTAAGTTGGGAAAGTAAACTTTTTTTTTCTCTTAAATCTATCACTAAGACTAACTAACACTATAACTTACAAAAGACTAACTAACCATATAAACTGCTATCTTCTAAAAGGTTTGGCAAGAGTAACGAACACTGCCCCTGAGCTCCATCTTCAGCCGAGGATGGTTGAGAAGGACCTGGAGCGCTCGGGTCGTGCGCGCACTAGATGCAACACCAATGGCATCGCAAGACACCTCCTGCGCACACACGACACGCGCAGCCACTGCTACCATAAATCGCCGATTGATGGTTCCAGGACGCATTGACACCTGAAGTTGAGCACCCACAAGGACAGCACTCGAAGAAGAAAGGAGGATACCTTGTAACATGTCAGGAATTCATACTCTGCAAATGACACTCTGCAATTCACTATATGTAACTGAAGGAAGAAAAGAGAAAACACTTTCCTCTCCAAGAAATCAAGCCTTTTGAAATCCTTATCCATGAGAGTCACTCTCACTGGGCTCAGTTACCTAGCTTTCTCTCAGGCTGCAGAGACTACTAGTATCCCTGGTATTCAAAGACTATAAAATTGTTAGAAGCCTCTTTATGGCACCTTGTATTGTTTTTGCTCCTCCATTTTCTGTAAGGGCAATGGTAGCAGTGGCCTACCATAGAACTGTAGCTGGCTCTAGGAGGCCCTCATTTATGGGCAATGCTATGCTGCCAAGAGAAAGGAGTACAAAATATTGAATATCTAACAGGCCTCTTCTCTGATTACTGATGCCTCAGTTTCTTACATACTAGCTGAGAGTAATTCCTGAAAGGCCTGAAGGTTATCAGGTGCTGGAATTGGCACGGAGATCTTCTCATCGGGGACATAGATGACTGGTCTTTGGGAGAGGCTGCAGAACATTGGTTCAGTTGTTCCAGACCTATTTTTTCCTCTTGTTCTTCTTTGTCTCCATCCAGGATGGCAGCAGGTATGGCTTGTATAAATGGTCTTGAAGTCAGTGTTACAGAAAAACAAAGTCTGTGTTTATGTGAGACATCTGGTCCAAAGATTCTAGACAGAAGCCCTAGTATGCCCAACACAACCAAGGTAGTACATAGTTGATTAGGCTTACAATGGGCAAGTCAGCACTCTGAAATTAATGTCTCTGGTTTGGAGGGATGAACCATCTTCAGATCCAGGGGAGAGAGGAGGTGAAGGTTTCCATCTGGAAGGTGCAGAAATGGTATGCTTGGAAGAGGAAGAAAACATCTCCTCAATTGGTGCTGATCTTTGGGAAGATGTTAGAACTAGGAATGCTGTTGATGCAGAGATAGATTTTGGAAGCAGAGGCTCTTGCCAATCCCTTACTGGTACCAATCTTGGATGTCATTTCCCTGGTGAAAGGAGCACTGATAGACTGGGTGGGTCTTTGTGGACAGTCCTGTCCTGGAGCTCTAACTTTGATCTTCAGGATCTGAGGTGCTCTTCAATGATAGCTCTAGAAGATTTCAGACAGATACCCCTAGATTTTCTTATCCTTTTGGAAAACAATCACCAGACTGAGCAACAACCAAGTACAAGGCAGGACAGACAGCAGCTGTGACCATCTGTGAGGGGAATCAGACAGTCAGAAGATGGGCAGAGCTTAAAGCCTGATGACTTTGGATCTGTCATTACAGGCAGCAGTGGAAAGAGGCACCAAACAGAATTCATAAAGAAACAGATTTTTGGAAATAAAACAACAAGAGGAGAAAATTTTAGTACGGAATCAATTCTGACTGACCTAAGCTAAACTAAGGAAATTCTACAAGGAAGTGAGAGACATAAGAACATAAGAATGGCCACAGTGGGTCAGACAAATGGTTCATCTAGCCTAGTATCCTGTCTTGTGACATGATCAATGTCAGATGCTTCCAAGGGAATGAAAAGAACAGGGTAATTATCAAGTGATCGATCCTTTTGTCCAGTCCCAGCATCTGGCAGTCAGAGGCTTAGGGACACCCAGAGCACGGGGTTGTATTCCTGACCATCGTAGCGAATACCCATTGATGGACCTATCCCCCCTGAACTTATCTATTTCTTTTTTGAACACTGTTGTACTTTTAGCCTTCACAACATCCCCGGGCAACGAGGTCCACAGATTGACTGCGTATTGTGTGAAGAACTACTTCCTTATGTTGGTTTTAAATCTGTTGTCCATCAATGAAACTATAAGTGACCCCTGGTCCTTGTGTAACGCAAAGAGGATAACAACATTTCCTTATTCACTTTCTCCACACTAGTCATGATTTTATAAACTTCTATCGTACCTTCCCCCACCTCATCATCTCTTTTCCAAGCTGAACAGTCCCTGTATTTTTAATATCTCATCATATTGAAGCTGTTATATACCCCTAATCATTTTTGTTGCCCTTCTCTGTACCATTTCCAAATCTAATAAATATTTTTTGAGATGAGGCAACCAGAACTGCACACAACATTCAAGGTATGGGCATACTATGGCTTTATATAATGGCATTATGATATTTTCTGTCTTATTATCTAATCCTTTCCTAATGGTTCCTAACATTCTGTTAGCTTTTTTGACTGATGCTACATACTGAGCAGATGTTTTCAGGAAACTATCCACAATGACTCCAAGATCTCTTTCTTGACTGGTAACAGCTAATTCACACCCCATCATTTTGAATGTGTACTTGGGATTATGTTTTCCAATGTGCATTACTTTGCATTGATCAACATAATTTCATATTCCATTTTGTTGCCCACCCAATTTTGTGAGATCCCGTTGTAATTCTTTGCAGTCTCCTTTGGATTTTAACTATCTTCAGTAATTTTGTACCATCTGCAAATTTTGCCGCCTCACTATTTACCACTTTTTCCAGACTATTTTAAATAAGTTGAACAGCACCGGTCCCAGTACAGATCCCTGGGGACCCTGCTATTTACCTCTCTTCACTGGGAAAACGGACTGTGTATTCCTACCCTTTGTTAGAAGTATTTTAACCAGTTGCTGATCCATGAGATGACCTTTCCTCTTATCCCATCACTGGCTCTGTCCTACTTTCACAGATGGTAAGAGGAAACTGAGGGACGGTTGTGCCCTTAGGTGGAAGGAACAAGGCTTAGAGGAAGGAACAAGGCTATGCAAAGCACAGGCATGGTCCCAACAGACACTGCTGTAAAAAAGATTCCAATTCTGCGTGCAAGAGGCACAGATGCACCTGAAGTAGGGATCCACACAGGCAAATACTCGAAGCAGTAATATATAAAATCCTTTCAAAATTTACAATATGAACGTACAATATGGTACTAATACACTTCAAAAATCTCCAATCTGTACATGGAAACTGTAGTTGAACCAGCTGAAAGATGAACACATGGGTTCTGGGTGACAAAAATACTGCTAAAATGTCAGGGAGTAGCTAAGTCACATAGGGAAAATGAAGCCTTCCTAAAGATAACCCCGGTAAGAGTCCCAAGAAAGTAAAAGTTAATTATCAGAATGAACTTGGTATACTAAATCTTCTAGTGTTGGGAAGGCAGTTAAACTGAGGGGAAAATCTGAGACTACGCTAATAACTGTGGAAGGAGCCTTAAATATCAGGTATTCTAGAAATTGATCTTTCCAGTATAAATCAATTACTCACAATCTCAATGGTGAAGGGAAGAATAAAATCAATACAGTTTTTTAAACCATGGGGTTGTTTTCCTACAGAATACTTACTTGTTTTCAAATACAACTGTGAGTGAATCCTCATGGACATCTTTGATAAATCCCTGCAATAAGAAGAAAGCAGTAGATGTGATATCTTTATTTTAGTTTGGCTTTTGACACAGTTCTACACAACATTCCCATAAGCAAACTAGAGAAATGTGTTCCTGATGAAACTACTATAAGGTGGGTGCATAACTGGTTGAACTACCGCATTCAAAGAGTAGTTAATGGTTCACTATCAAACTGGAAGGGCATATTTAGTGGGATCCCGAAGGAGTCTGTCCTGGGTCTGGTACAATTCAATATTTTCATTAATGACTTAAATAATGGATTGGAGAGTATGCTTATAAAATTTGCAGATGACACCAAGCACTTTGGAAGGGAGGATCAGAATTCAAAGAACACCAACAAACTAGAGAACTGGTCTGAATTCAACAAGATGAAATTCAACAAAGACAAGTGAAAAGTACTTCACTTAGGAAGGAAAAATCAAATGCACAACTGCAAAATGGGAGAAAACTGTGTAGGTGGTAGTACTGCTGAAAAGGTTCTGGGAGTTACAGTGGATCACAAACTGGATATGAGTCAACAATATGATGCAGCTGCAAAAAAAGATTAATATCATTCTGCGGTGTATTAACAGGAGTATTGTATGTAAGACATAGGCTCTAGTTGTCCTGCTGTATTCAGCACTGGTGAGGCCTCAGCTGGAGGACTGTGTCCAGTTCTGGGCACCACACTTTAGGAAAGATGTGAACAAATTCGAAAGAGTCCAGAGGAGAGCAACAATCTGACCTACAAGGACAGGTTTAAAAAAACAAAATTATATATATGTTTAGTCTAGAGAAAAGAAGACTATGGGGGAACCTGACAACAATCTTCAAATATGTTAAGGGCTGTTATAAAAAGGATGGTGATCAATCGTTTCCCACATCCACTGAAGGTAGGACAAGAAGTAAAGGGCTTAATCTGCAGTAATACAGATTCAGGTTAGATACTAGGAAAAACTAACTATAAGTATAGTTAAGCTATTCCAAGATAGTTTGTGGAATCCCCATCACTGGAGGTTTTTAAGAAGTGGATGGACAAACACGTGTCAGGGATGGTCTAGGTTAACTTAGTCCTGCCATAGTACAGGGGGCTGGACTTCATGATCTCTCAGTGTCCCTTCCAGTCCTATATTTCTATGCTTCTAAGTGTTTTAAAAGAGGTTGCTGGATCATTAATGTAGATTTTCAATAAGTCTTGGTACACAGGGGACGTTCCAGAAGACACGAAGAAAGCTAAAGTTGTGCCAATGTTTAAAATTGGTAAACGGTATGCAGGAGTCAGGGCAGAGGGCTGGGGGCATGTGAGGGGGGTGTATGAGTCAGGGCATCGGGTGTGTGGGGTGCTGGAGTCAGGGCTGGGGTCATGTGGGGGTGCAGGGGTCAGGGCAGAGGGCTGGGAGTGTGTGGGGAGGTGTGGGGGTCACGGCAGGGGGCTGAGGGGTGTGGGGGTCAAGGCTGAGGGCTGGGCGTGTGGGCTAGGGTGTGGGGGTGTGGGCGAGAGGGGTGCAGGGGCCTGGAGGGGCTGTGGGGGGGATGCAGGGGTCAGGGCAGAGGGCTGGGGGTGTGGGCTAGGGTCATGGGGGTGCTTCCAGCCCCCTGCCCAGAGCGGCTCATGGCACGGAGCTGGAGGGGATATGCCCTGATTCCACCCCCCTTCCCCAAGGCCCCGTCCCCACGGCTTCTCCGCCTCCTCCCCAGAGCAGCAAGTGCGCTGCGGCTCTGCTTCTCCCCCTCCCGCACAAGGGCCATCAGCTGATCGGCGGCAGGGATGGAGAGGAGGAGAGGCAGGAACCCAGCACGCTGGGGGAAGAGGCGGGGGTGGGGGGAGCTTGCCTGCCCTGCAGCAGCCACCGGTAGGACCAAGCTTCTTCACCCTGCCCCCGCAGGCAGAGAAGAGTGGGCTGGGGCGGGCAGGATTTTTAATGGCACACTGCTGCCAGCCTGGGTTTGGCAGCGAGCTGAGCGGGGCTGGCGGCTAGGACCGGGCAGGCAGCAGCGTGCCATTAAAAATCGGCAAGCATGCCGTCCTTGGCACGCATGCCATAGGTTGCTGACCACTCGAGTACACCATGACATGGGGATTGCTGACTACAGGCTGATTTGGCTGGAGTGAAGTGGCCTGCAATGGCATCACGTTTTGCACACTCTGCAACGTCTAACCAGTTATTTAAGACGTTGTGATCTAGTGAAAATTCTAGTGGTGAGTCACTCAGTCAGAACGATCTATGCCTTATTCCAGGTGTACACCTCATCCAATCTATGAGACCAGATTTGGTCATCAGAGACTTGTGTCCAGGAGCTGTTACAGTTTTCTCTGCTTTGGCAGAGCATCTGAATTGCTATAGTGACAATATAAAAACTATTAATAAGTATTCGAAAAACATCAATTGGGAAACTGCAGAGTTCACGACTGACCGAAAAATGTGTGCTGTAAGGCATAGAAACACGACAAGCTCTGACACCTCACTGCTTTTCAGAGATGAGTTTCCACCCTCCCATTCAGGACAAAGAACCAGTATGCAGTACTGGCAACAGGAGGCGAAGAGCAGACCCCAATGGCTGAGGACGAGCTACCACCTGCTCCCAAGGCCACTGTACACAAGAAACAGCGGCTCAGTGGTCAGGGCCATTCTGTAACCACTTGAATCTTATACTGCCAACGGCCATCATGGTATGTGCAATATTGGGGTATTGGTCAAAGAGGATAGAGGGAAAGTGCTCTGGGCAACCTCCCCCACCCCCATGTCCTTTTTGTGCTTTAACATGTCAGAAGGAAGCCTGGGGGTGACAGTGAATGGGCTGTAAACAGAGGGAAATGGTTTGTACATTTCAGCAACTCCGGGGTTGGCAGAGTAAAGGTATGCATATTAATGGAGTTTATTGAGGCACTGCTGCATTTCCTGATTTTCACAAGTATGAATAAGCTTGGCTCAATTCAACATTCTGTAAGGAGAGAACACATCACCAAGCAACCTCAACTCTGTATGAATGTAGGTTTCTCCCCTACCCCCATTGCATGTACTTTGATTTATGTAAGGTGTTTGACTTGGTACCACATGACATGACATCTTAATTTAAAAAAAAAAAAACCGACAACTTAACATGGCACACATTAAATGGATTAAAAGCTGGCTAACCAACGGGTCTCAAAATGCAAGTATAAACAGGAAGTGAGCACTGAGCAGCTGGAGCTCCACAAGGATCACTTTTAGCAATAACTTAGAGGAGAACATAAGATCACCACTGATAAAGTTTGCAAATGACACAAAAAATAGGGGAGTAGTAGACAATGAACAGGACAGGCTGACAGAGCTATCTGGATCACCTGGTAAGCTAGGTGCAAGCACACAATATGTATTTTAATACAGTTAAATGTGTACATCTAGGAACAAAGAAAGTAGGCCATACTTTTAGGATGGGGGACTCCTTTGTGAAGCAGTGACTCTGAAAAGATTTGGAGGTCATGGTTAATCGCTGCACAAGAGCCCCGAGTGTGACGTTGTGGCCAAAAGGGCTCATGTGATCCCTAGATGCATAAACAGGGGAATCCTGAGTAAGAGTACAGGATATATTTCACCTCTGTATTCGGCACTGTGTGATCACGGCTGGAATACTACATCCAGTGCTGGTGTCCACAATTAAAACAGGATATTGATAAATTGTAAAGGGTTCAGATAAGAGCCATGAGAATGAATAAATGATTAGAAAACCTGTCTTATAGCGATAGATGCAAGGAGCTCAATCTACTTAGCTTAACAAAGAGAAGGTTAAGGGATTATTTGATTACAGTTTATAAATATCTACATGGGGAGCAAATATTTGATAATAGGCTCTTCAGTCTAACAAAGAAAGGTATAACATGATCCAATGGCTGAAAGTTGAAGATAAAGAAATTCAGACCAGTTTTTGACCAGTCCTGAGAGTTTTCTAAGTGCTCTGATTCAAACCATCTTGAAAGCAACCAGTCTTTATATTACTGATAAAGACAGATGATTATAGGGGGCTGCGAGCAACCAGAAGAAACAGAGATTACATTGAGGGCCCATTTGTCAGGTTAAATCTATTCGTTACACAGACTTGAAATCCATGTGTATCTTCTGAACTTGGCAAAAAGGCTAGGGCCTTTTCTTTAGAATATCAATACTTCCATAGTTATCCATGGATGTGTCACCTTAAATTGGAACACTGCATTGTAATCTACATATATCTATGCCTTAAGACCACAGGAAAACTGCAGATAGTTAAACTGCAAAGTTAAGAGGGACTTCTCATACAGCTATGCTCCAAAATCTGATTCTAGATGAAATATAAGACTCATTTTGACCCATTAAGTCCTAATTTGTACCTTACCTATCTTTGACACCACCTATTTCCTTGTGTGAATCTGCAGCAAACGCAATTGTCTGAAGCACCTAAAGTAGCAGTCTTCTGATTTAAATGAAGTTAGCAGCAAGACATTCTCACTGAGGAATCCTCAGCTCCACAACTCCCTTTTATCATTTATTATTTGTATTGTGGTAACATCTAGGAGCCACAGACATAGACCAAGGTTCCATTGTGCTAGGCACTAGACACAAACATAACAAAAAGTCAGTCACTGCCCTAAAGAGCTCCTTGGTCTGCAAGAGCATTAACTTTTCAACCTTCACAGAACACTGCAAGACACATCTGTTCCTCAATAAGTAACATTTTTAGAGCAGATGGAAAGTTCTTTGGTGGCACTGAGGCAATATGTAATTTTTAAAATATAATTTACAGATTTGTCCAAGTGCTGAGGTAATATTAGTACTAACACATTTCATAAATCTAACAAATAAAGAGAACAGTAGTCTACATCATATTTGTTTAGTTAAACGTGAGATATTAATTCCTGTAATGTGTTATAACCTTAGTTTGAAAAATGCAAGGAAGTGGAGAATCAGGTCTTAAACCTTGATTTCAGAGGAATTCTACACCAGTGTAGTAATGTATGCTTTAATAAATGAGAATGATTAAAGGACTGGAAATACACC